GGCGGGGCCGCGCCGCGGGGAGGCGGGGCCGCCGCCGCCCACCCGCCGTTTCGGTCTCTGGCCGCCGGAGGGCTGCAATCCCCCTTAATTATCCCGTGATGGTGATGAGCGGCGACCGCTCTCAGCCCGGCTTATGCCATCCGGGGACCGTAACCGCTTACCGGGTGCAGAGCTTCAATCTCTCCGTCTCGTCCTCACTCGCAGCGACATCCGGCGCCTCCGCTTTCTGGCTTTTGTTTTTGCTTTCCGGCTGAACAAATCTCTATATAGCATAGACGTTTCCGCTCCCGTATCTTATTTACACGTATATATATTTTTAGGGAAAATATATTACCTATTTGCACTTAGAGAGAGTATCTGCGTAGACTTAGATTTACTTCGTCTTTCACGTTACCACTCGTTACGCAGAATATCTGTTTAGACTATCTGCTTACACATCTATTTTGACACTTTATCTCTTTAAAAATAATTTTTTACAAATCTTTGCGTAATCTACGATCTCTTGTATAATAAAGAGGAACAGAAACATAGAAAAGCCCAACTCGCCACGCTCACGCAGGTATGAAGTCAAACTCGGAGTCAGGTTCCAATTTCCTTACGGTTTAATAAGTTAACAGGTTCAGCCATTACACAGCAATGGAATTCTTCAACATTTACAAAGGTACAAGAACTTCATTCGTTTAGTCTGAAATAGGTCAGATTATTCTTACCTCTTAAATAGCTACACTGTTCCAAATTTTTTTTCCCCCTCTAAACCATCTGGGGTTAAAAGAATCCACCCAGAGAAAAGGCATCAAAGTACAAAAGAGCACGCACAAGGAGAGGCGCTAATTCAAAGTCAGCATGGGTATTTGGTCCGGTACCTGTTTGAGCAAGGAAAGGCGGCGTGGAGCGGTCAGTCACCTCTCTAGAAGCAGACAAAGACCTTTTCCAGAAGTTTGACCGCCGCTGCAATCGTTACTCTGCCGTGACGCTCACCGGGCCTTCGGGGGCGGGAGGGAAGGAGGGGAGAACACAGCAAAAGACCCCAAAGGGCGCAAATGCCGGCCGCCCAACATTCGAGCGTCTCGAGAGCTACCCAGAAATGACTTCTCTGTAAGTTTAGCAAACAATGAACCGAGAGTAAGGAAGGAAGCGGCATCCCTAAAGACAAAAAAAGCCGAATGAAAACACCGTAAGCGTAAGCTTTGCTGCGCGCCCAGTTCTAGTCTAGAAACGGCACGTGCCCGTGGCCCCCTTATGTCAGTTTGAAGTTCTCGTTACGCTCCCCTCCGCTCGGCGGTTCTGTGACTAGCTCTCTAGCCGAGTAGGCTCCTCTCACTCTCTCTTCAGCCAATTGTCTGCCTAAAAACCCAGCTCGACATCACAGCAGGAGGGTGCTCGCAGGGGCAGAAGCCAGACTCGCTCGAGTCCGCCCCCGCGGAGGTCACTGTAATAAATATTCTGTGGATGCCACAGAGGCCGGGAATGCCGCTTTCCCGCTCACCCCGTCGTCCTCAGTCACTTTGCAGCGTGACCGGTATTTGCAGAGTGTGCTCTAATTCCAAGCGCGTATGAACACGCGTGCGATCCCTCTGCCCTCAAGCACGTGGCCTTCGAGCGCCCTCTCCGAGTACCGGGCCTCAGACACCCATCACGCTAAAGCTTAAGGCATCCCCGACACACTGAGGTTTCGCGGTTCCCTCCATTTCTTCACGTGCCCGTTTTCTCTCGCCTCAAGAAGATAACCCTCACGGGCCGACGCTTCGACGGGGAGGCTCTTAAAAAGCCTTACCAAAACACAGGGAGAGGACGTATCTGGACAGAAATATACTTACAAGCATACTTACAGCTAGAGAAATCTATTTTCTTCAGAGAAATAAAAATACCCAGCATAGGTGAGCTCCAGTAACTCCTTTCAGCCAAAATAGGGGAAAAAAAAAAACACACCAAAAAAAATCCAACGGAAAAAAGCCCCCCCCCGCCAAACCCCAAAATATATACTTTGGCTTCATTTACCAGTCACGTTTCTACTCGTGTAGCCGGCAGTGAAACGCAGCATCTGCCTTCATAAGCAGGACCAAACTCCTTCGGAAGTCTCTGTGCGTTCAAGCCCGCTGCTCTGCCGCTCTTCTTCCCCCACATACTCGATCAAGAACCGATTTCACAAGGCGCAAATATTGAGCCTACCCTGAGACAACAATCTGGCGACTGCAGATCATTCGAGTCTAAAACGTTAGATGGCGGCCCGCACCGCGTGCTGGGGTCGCTCCGTGGTCCCAGGCACAACGAAACATCACAGACCCCGAGGTGCAACGGCACCGAGGCGAGAGCGTGGGTATCCAGAAGAAGTTAAACAGGAAAAAGCAGATTTTAAATAGCATTTCTTCTGTCCTAAAGCCAGAAGTACTAGCAGGGATTAAATACATAAGAGATTTCTTTTCTTCTCATACGGACGTATGGCAGGAACTGCCCATTTAATACAGCTAGAACGGGATCCTCGGACCCCAAGGCCGGTGAAGAACTCAAGTTCCGGTTTTACTCTTTGCTTTCCCGTCGCCTCCTTCCTACGAGCAAGACCGGCGCTTCTCATTCAAAGCAACTCAGACATAGTATTGAGGAAAAAAGAAAAACCGAAAACGGAGCGTCAAGTACTGTTGGCGACAGAGGCGGAGTCGTAGCGGGGACGGTGCCAGAGGACGGAACCAAACCCCGAGGCCCTGGGAACGAGGGCACATCTGCGAAGGACAGAATCGTGCGCGACGCCGCAATGACACGGCAAAGGAAGTACCGGTGGCCGGGTCGCTCGAGGTGAGCTGCAGAGCACCAACTTCCAGCAGTGCCGCGGCAGGAACTGGTCGCTTGCATCGATGAAAATTATTTTCAGCATGAAACAGCGCACGGAGCTGCAAACAAAGCCACGGTACTGTGCGGACGAGGAAAGAAACAACGGATAAAAGACACAGAAGAGCTTGGGGATGACAGAAAGACTCCCGGACGAAACCAAACAGACGGAGAAGAGGTTACCGGTCAGCCAGCCAGACCAGTCCAATTTTTCACACATGCCCAACCAGGACAAAGAGTCCTTCCGGCTGGCAAGCACTGGCACTTTCAACTCTAGCCCCAGGCGACTCCAGCCTTCTCTACCACAAGATGCTTTCAAGAGACGCCCCAAAATTCCCGCCTGTATATCCTTTCACAGAGGCATAACAAACACATTCAGGTCTCGGGAAATAGCACGCGATGGCTGTTATCAGTAAGCTGGGACTTCTCCTTCTGAAGAACACGACACGTTGTTTTATGCGCACCGTAAAGAAAACGACTGCTTTTTCGTTCGGTCGCATCCCACGTAAGGTGACGGTCCCCACCTCGGGAGGTACTTTAACAGGGGAGCAGAGCTAATGAATCCCGCCGGGCTGAGGCGATCGCTTTTCAGGGAGGGTTTTCCTCCCCTTTGCCCCGTCTACTTAACTCTACAACCCACAGGACAGCAGGAGCTTCCATTAAAACCAGGTATTCTGACAGGGCGTGAGCGTTTCTCAAAGAGTGTCGTTAGACTATCCAGACTCCCCCCGGGGATAGTCGCAACATGCATACGTCACGATACCGGTAAACCGTTCATCTAGAAGGGCAGTCTCCTCCTGCACGAGGAGTCGCTTTTCCCCCGCGCGTCTCTCCCTCCGCAAATACCCGCGGCGGAAACACCTACCATTTGAACACGGTGGATTGGGTTTGCTAGAAGAAAGGAAATGCCAGATGGAATCAAGAAAGGCTCCCTCTATTCCAAGAAACCCTTTAATCGGCAAAAACACGAAAATTCTCGCCTCTTTCCACCACGTGGCTTCACGCTCCACGTCAGATCGCCCTCTCGCTAGCGTTGCCCCATTCCTCGGCGTGAGAACCGTGAGAGGCCAGGCGCTCCGCAGGTCCGGGAGACCGCCGGGCACCCAGCCGGCAACAGCCCCAACTGCCCCCGAGGGAAAGAGTTCCGCTCGTACAACAGCAGGCGGGTGGCACAGCCCCTTCCCCGTACAAGAGCATGGATGCCGAAGGAGGGCCATGTTACAGGGTCGCAGCACTGACGGTACCGACCAGACGCTCTCGCAAGAGCCCGGACCGCTACAAAAATTTGCCCAGTGGTTAAAATCTCCTTCTTCTTAGAGACTCCTTCTTCCATCAGTACAGCACTGAAAGGAGGCATCCCTCAGCACCGTCTGAAACGGAGACTGTTCCGGTGGCAGAGCCGGGTGGAAAACCACCGCTCGTTCTCCTGACAGCTCACAGCCCAGGAACGCGTTGCCTCACACCACAACACGGGTTACAGCCTCTGCCCCGAGCAGAAGCGACGAGAGCATTTAAACAGCCAGCGACCGCCTCACTCGCTCTCGCCTAGCGAGCCAAGCGAAGCCCGCATCGCTCGGCAATGTAGCTAACCTGGTAGTTTCTCGATCTTTAACTCGGAGGGTTGCCACTCGAGAGGCCCCCCTGCTTTTCCAGGATGCACCCGGCGATGCCAGCTACACAGGCAGAGTCGCTTCCGCAGCTCCCGGGATCCCCACAGGGATTCGCATGCCGCCTGGACTTTCTGGGAGAGCGCGGTGGGGTACGACAGTCGGAAAAGGCTACGCCAAGGCGGACGAGCAGCCGAAGCTCAGATCCACCACCTCTGCTCCTCAAACGGCACGAAGCACTGGGGCGTCTTCCCTCAGCCAAGGTCGGAAGGAACTGGACTGCAGGTCACAGATACCACGGAGCGGGAAGACAAGAGACTAGAAAAGGACCTCTGTGCGATCTTTCCGATGGGCTTCTCCCTCCTTCAGTTCTCACCCGACGTCGCGCCATCACCAGCTTTGGGTTTGGATTTAGACTTGAAGGAGAAGCGCTTGATGAGGCGGCGGGAGAAGCTGCCGGCTTTCTTCCCGGCGGTGGAGTTGGCGGTGACGTTGGACAAGTCATCGTGTGACTGGCTCAGGCCCGCTTCCTTCTGCTTGCTCCTTCTCCGGAAGATGAGCTTGGTACCGCTCCGAAGAAAGCTAACTGCAGAGACAGAAAAGGAAGGAGACAGAAACCTCAATAGTATCCTGCCTCGGCGAGTCTCAGGGGCAGCAATGCGCCCGGCCACTCTCGACGAGCGGCGAAGACCTCTTTCGCCCCGAGCGGCAGACGCGCGTGGCAGGTCAGCGAATCGAAAAGCTAAGACTCATACGAATGGAAAACAAGTGAGAATATCCGGAGGGAACGCACAACAGCGAAAAGGCCTCTGAGACTAGCAGTCATCGAGCCCCTAGAACAACTGCCTGCAGTTTCACGAGACGCCCGAATCCAGAGACAAATAACGGCAACGGCACCGGATGACTCACGTGTGCCAGACAGGATGGAGACGCCGACTGCCGTCAGCCCCAAACAGATGCAACAAAAAGGCATATCCAAAACCTGCACGCCATACAAAGTTACAATGGTATTTCCTATACGGGGGGGCTTGCTTTGCGTTTTCTTCCTTCTCTTCACTGCCCACCGAGTCTCTCAAGAATCCGGGCCACACACCTTTCTCACCCGCTGACGAGCAAACAAGGGGCCACCGCATTTTAAACTGTACCCGGTGGTTCCAGGGTACAACCCCCAAAACCCGTCCCGTGCGATCGAGACTTTGGCTCACGCTTGTTTACGCAAGTTTGTAGCTAACTGAAACCATCGTGGCTAGGAGCAGGGAAATACAAGTGTGCTATCCGCCTAACCGACACCAGCCCAGAAAGTCCAGGACAGCAGCTCGGTCAGGGCAGGCCAGCTCCGTCATTTAAAAGCAGAGAGTTTCTGCAGACATCATACGGTACGACAGGTCAGAGGAGCTAGCTACTTCGATGCTAACCGAGACAGAGGTAGGGCATCGAGGCCCATATGCTCCACATCGTCAGGCGGCCTCCATTTCCGCACCGGAGGCAGCTGAATTCAGAGGAGAAATGATTATTTATGGACGCGTGCCTGATTTGCAGACCCGGAGGCCGGGGAACAAAACCAGGTTGTCAGGAACGTGCAAACCGCACCGGGTTCCCATCTAAAAGAGCACAGAAACCCAAAAGGCCACGGGAATCGGACGCCTGCAAATAGAGGAGTTTGGACCCTCTCCGGCGGAAAGCGCAAAAGAGAGGTGGGCTCTTCCGGGCTCCAGCAGAAGCCCTTCTTTGCCACGCCGAAAGCCGGCTGCAGCCCCCGCGCTCGGGCGGGGAACTCAGATATCGCAATGTCCTCAAGTACAACGGACTCGCGTTAGCTCGCGCCTAACGGTTCGCCCTTACCTTTGTGATCTTTCAAGCTCCTGGTCTCAAGGGCTCCCGTGGAGCCAGTTTCAGACTCAACGTCTTCCACCGACGGTCTCTCGGAGATGTCCGATCGCGTCGTCTCATCCAGCTCCTGACTGGCCCTTTGTCCCGACGGTGACGCTTCCAGCAGCTGTGACGATTCGGTAAAATCACGCATCCGGTCGGCCACGTGCTCTGCCGCAGAATCCCCATACGCCGTGGCCTCCAGCGATGCCGCGTAACCCAGAGAAAGTGCCATCTCATCTTGAGCGATAGGTACCTAGAGGGAGGTTAGAAGGTCAGACAAGCAGGAAGATGGGGTCTGAAGGATCGCATTCAACTCCCTTCTTCCATCCGCACCTACATATGGACGCTCCTACTAGACAGCACCGATGCGCAATCGTCACGCTTTGTCGAAACATACCGGAACGCGGCCGATTCCAAAGCATTCGCGGCACCTCCCTCACTCCCATAGGTGAGCCCAAGGAGAACGCCTTAGATTCTCCAGGAGGTTCCCAACGAGCTACGGCAGCGGCCGCCCCGAAGACCGGCAAGTTACTTTTCACGCTCCCCGGGAAGCCGCGACAAGCCGCAAGGAAGCGGCAAAAGGGTTCCGCCGAGCGAGTCGGTGCCGGAACCTTCCCACACCGGTCCCTACTGGACAGGGTAGTTTCCCACACCCTTCCCTAGAAACAACTTCCCGGATCGGAAACGGTGCCCCCTAACTACCAGAGACCTTGGAAACTCCCGAGATGATCAGCGTGCTACGTTTTGTCGGAGTCTTCTTGGCGGGCTTGTTATTCGTCTCGGTTAGCTGCCTGATCGCCGTCTCGGCCACCGGATCCAAGCCGTTGGGCATATGGCTATCCCCTGAGCACAAAAAAGACACCGACACTTGAAGTAGCAACTTTCAGCTCGGGCAGGAGGTCGCTTGCCGACCGTGACGCTCGTCATAGGCAACTACGTGTGCACAAAGGTAGAGAGCAGAATTTATTATGGACTTGCCCAAATAAACCGAAAGAAGGAAGCTCCGTATAGCTCTTTTAGGCACCCGAAAAGTTTAACTTCCCACCAGGCGTATCGTTAAAATTCCCTTCCCGCTCGATTAAGACTTCCAAAGGCTCCCAAGAGTTTGGGCGGCCTTGACCACAAACCGTCGAAACGGCTGCGGCGCTCTGTCCCGGAGACAAAGAGAGGCCCAGGTACAGGGCGAGCAAAGGTCTTCGGGTCCAGATAGCCCGGAACGTTCTTGTCGAGCAAGGGACCGCCCAGAGTCACCAACCGGATACCCAAAGCAGAATTTCTTTTACCTGGCCCCACCCGCAACCACCCCTAAAGGCCCTGCCTTCGCTTCGGCACTCGGACGTTCTCTTCTGCAGTAAACGCAGACGAATTCAGCTACCCACGTTCAGACCGCCACTCCCTGAGAAAGGCTGAAAACCACAGTTGCTCCAGTAAGAACCTCGGATTTCCAAGCACTTACGGCTACTGCCGGGCAAGGGGCCGCGAGGGCAGCCGCTCTCCAAAAGCACCGTCGTCTTCTTTTCAGTCACTTCCACCTTGGAAGGCGACCTCGATGGTGAATCTTCACAGCGAAAGAGGCAGAGAGACAGAGAGCCCAGTAAGCGGGGACGAAGCTCAGGCGACTTCACTACTGTATCACGGCCCCTTAACCGCACCCCCAAAAAGCCCCAAGAGCGCACAGAGAGCCTGCAGAGGCTGCCTACGTGAGGCTTTGCGGCAGCACGGTAGTAATAAGCCTATTGGAAAAAAACAGGTGAAGCAGTCCCATCATCAGACCCTATTCGTGCCGTTTCCCAGCCCCGCCTCACAGAATATCCAGCACCGCATTCCTCAGCACGTCAGACTGCAAGCAGCAATGACCGTTAGCGAGCAAGACCAACGTGCTTTCGGCTCTGCATTTGGTACGTACAGCTTAACTTCTTTAGCAGTGAAGAAAATGGAGGCAAGCGGCAAAATGCCTAGCCCGACATCACGCAGAGGTCACGCAGTGGCATACGCGTTTGAGTCGGGACTTCCCGCTGCCAAAGGGCGTCAGAGAGGCTCGTCCTCTCTCGCTTCCCCCCAAACACAGGGATGCATCAAGTCCCTCCCCCAAAGCTACAACTGAGGCTCCAGTCAGATGCAAGACGCTAAGGGGATGGCGACGACGGCCGCGTTCTGGCCCAGAAGCCAAAAGTACATTAGGGGCGAGTCTGCAACAACCGCAACGTACAACGGCCAAACGGTTTTGCTACTGCCCGCGTGAGCCGCCTAGGCAAGATCGTGGCCGAGTCTGCGCTCCGATAGCCACCGGTACGAGATGCCTGTCGCGGGGTGGCCTCACCCAGTTTGCAGTCTGCCTTGGGCCGGGACTGAATCGTGGTGACGGTAGTCACGATGGTGCCGTCGGGCATGATGGTCCGGTCCATCTCCACCTTCTTAGTGGGGGTGATGCTGGTTCGCAGAGATGCAGCATGCTGAGCGTTCAAAGATGCGGTGGACTCCTGGAACAGCAGCTACAAAGAGAAAAGCACAGCTCAGAAAGGCTCTACTCTTCCCAGACGGAAAGGCAGGCATTTGGGTGACAAAAGCTACTGCGCTGGGCACCAAGGAGCCATCCCCGCTACGATGTCGGTCAAATGGAGGAAGACTCGGGGACCGAGGGTCAGGCGACACCTCTCCTCGGCCTGAGGGTCTGCCTGTACCCTGCCACAAGCCCAGGCCTAATCACGCTCGTCTCCAGCTAGAGGCTTACACCACGAACACTTCCGGAACGCACGTTTCTGCCAAGCGTAGGGACTCCTGAGCTCACCTCCAATATAATAGTAGCTTCAGCCGCCAGTGACCGCCCAGCTCCTGGGGCCAGAGAGCAGACCTGCCTCCCAGACGGTTGTTTGCCCACGGAATCAAGCAGAAGCATGGCATGTGCCAGCAGCACACCTGCAAGAAAGAAACGGGAAAACAAATCACGCTACATGACCTCAGCACCTCAGATGTCTCCCGGTCAACCCAGGCTGCTTTCGGGAAGCAGCCCTGAAGCACATCCCCCCTGACTCCGGTAGCTCCCAGGTTGGAGGGAGGCAGGGGGCGGGCAGCGCTCCTCCGTGCCGATTCGGAAATCGGCTCCTTTGAAGAGATGGCCCTTGCGTGGCCCCCATGAGAAATAGGTGCTGCGGTCAGTCCCCGACCGAGAACAAACGAACAGAGTTAAGAGCCTTCCGCAACGTTCTTCCGCCAGCCGGGGGCAAATCCCCGCATCCCTCTCCCCGCTTCAGAGCGGAGACGGGCGGGCCACGGGAACCTCCCAGGTATCAAAAAGGTCAGAGAAAGCACGCGTCGCTATGAACAACAGACCGCAGAGTTACCTCACGCGGCCAGAGACTCACATAAAGTTGGATCTGAAAACTCCTTTGCAGCGTTCGGAACATGTGGTACTGCCACAGAACTACCACAGGCTCAAAGCAAGAGAAGCCCCTTAGTCATTTTTGTCTCCCCATCTTACGATCCATCTCGTGGCCGCCCATACTCACTTCCCCCTCCGTCACTGTTCCCCAGCACCTGTAGCTTCAGCTCTTTACTTCTAGGTCCCAACTCCCTGTCGAAACGGAAAAAGACAAGCTGGTATTAGGCAACCTTTGCAAAATGGCCACAGAGCAAGCAATCCCAGTCCGTATCTTCCCTCCCTCAAATCTCACAGCCTCATCACCTTTTCCAAAGCTCCTGTACACCTGCGCTACCGTGGAGGACACAACAAGGGGCAGCAAACTACATAGAAGAGAACTCTGGTTCGTGTCCCTGCAGGGCTGCGTAGGCTGCCAGGGGAAGATGAGAGCACGATCTGTCTGGAAGGCTGAGATTTACGCTCCAGGCCTTCTCCACCCACTGCTCCCACACGCTGCCCGCGATCGGCACTTCTGCCCATCCAGTTAAAACACAGAGCAGCCAGGGGAACGGGAAATATGTACGCAAGCTGAGGCAAATCGCTGGAATCGGCAGCCCAGCACGCGGGCAGCATGAACACGCGTCACGCTGCGGCGCGGACTTCGCTTCTGCGCCGTCCGCAGTTACTACAGCCCGGTAAGGTAATGACACCCAGAGACCATGCCGGCCTGCCTCTGCCGTGCCAGCCGGAAGGAGGGCAGACACTTACAGAAAGAGCTCCTCATTCCACTCCATCTCTGCTGCAGCGCCGGCACCGCCAGCTCTCGCTGGCCTCGTCCGCTTCTGCTGCGGGGGGCTGTCGAGCTCCACGACGCAGCGAATCTCCCCAGCTCCTGCAACGGAGGGAGAGATTGCATACGTGCCCTCGTCGACACGAGGCAGCGGCTCATCGGACGCACGCTCCTCTTTTCCACTCGAACCCGCTCAAACCAGCCACTCGCCCCAATCTCACCACCTGGACGCTTGCCCTGCAAACAAGCAATGTTTTCACGCTTACCTCCCTTCCCCTGGCAGCCCAAGTTCAGCACTCGAAGATTCCGGACCAACAGCTTGGAACCGAGAGGGGCTGCTGCTACTCCGGACGGGGACTCTCGAGACAGCTTATTGCTGGGTGCCTGAGGAATGACAAGAGCAAGACCGATGCCTTTATCGTTCCCTTGCCAGCACACAGCATTGAGACGCACGATGTTCATCCTTGCATCTACTAAGCAGTGCCTCACACCAACATAGGGGAATACCCAAAGAGCCGTCAGAAGACGCTGCAAGTTGCCCTAAGCTATCGACCTCCGGTGGGCCCTCGAGTTATTTCAGATGGGAAATTTAGGGCAGACAGGAAAAGAGACAGACGAGAACATGCTCGCCGGCTGCCAGATGTACACCCGAACACAACAAACCGTGGACCATTCCACGCCTGTAAAGGCCGCCCTGGGCAGAGCGTCGGTGTTCAGAGCGACAGCGAGACCGCCAAAACCGAGACGCGTCTCAGGCAGCGTGGCTCCACTTCAGCCCAACCGGCACTCAGCATTCAGGAAACAAGATAGAAACAGAGCTGCCCTTCACAGCAGTTTCTAATTATCTCTATTCCCCGTGCCACAGTACCCCAAACCGTGATAGCAGATCAGGATCCCGCTCTCTCCTAGAAGCGAGTCTCAACACTCGGATTCCTGCCCGAGCCTCAGAAGCGGCCCGGGTCAGCGTTTGAGGCACAAGAGTGACACGAGGAGAGCGCCTTACCGCGCTGGCTCCCGCGGTGCAGGCCTTCAGATTCACCACCATGGCTGGCTGCGTGCTGACAATGGCATCCTCGATCAAATCCTTTATGGTGGACAGATCCGCTCTCCCTTCATTCTTCTCTCCGCAAATCAAAGAGGAAATGCAGGAAAGTGACAATGGGGAAGACACATTTTCTCCTTATACCGCTCCAACTGCCTCTCGAGCCTCTAAGACGCTAAACGGCCTTTCTCCCGGTAATAACCTCCCAGGGTACTCTTCCCATGTCCCGTACTCGCTCTCCCCAGCGCTTAAAGCTTCTGCGTAGCAGCCGCAGGCAAACATAAGTTGTCTAAATGAGACAAACTAAGCCTCGACATCCGTAGTCTACCAGTTGCAAATTTTGACAGCACACCTTTTACGGGTTCCCGCATCCTTACCACCTCGTGAGATGGTACTACTGCGCTTTTGGGGGAACAGCCAAATTCCTACATCTACTTGGGAGAAAGCGACAAAAGCCTGGATAAAACAAACAAATCAAGCAACCTGTTTGGATCACAGAAGCACAAGCACGCCCGCGTTCAGCTCGTTAAACCTCTAACACCCGCAGGTTCCGCAAGCTAACCTCTCCAAAAAACCCCACAATCCACCGAAAAAAACCCAAACAAACCAACCCGGCTCATTTGGCAGCTCTACATCTGACCGCAGCACGCGGACCTACGCGGACAGAAAGCCTTTTTCGCTACACCGACTCCCATTCAGCTGTTACACCAAACTCGGACAACAGACATCATTACTGCTTCGGTCCTCTCGGGGATACGCTGTTTTGACAGAGCTGAGCCGGAATCGATTCAAGGGCAAAAGAATCCCCTCCCTCACCCTGAAGGGCCACGACAGTGCCAATCTTCCCCCTCAGCAGCAGCCTTCTTCCTGGCTCGCCCCCGTTTCCGCTTCCCCCGTCCTTCCTCCAGCAAGTCCAGCCTCGCGCTGTTTGCCACTCACCTCGCGAAGCTGAAGTCTCGGAAGAACCGAAAGGTTCAAGTCTGGTCTGTCCTTGAAAGTCCACGACACCAGAAGACCTTCGTTCTGTATCTCCTCCAAGTGGATCTCCACCTGGTCCAGAACAAATAACCGTAGTCAGGAACAGTTTCTCTTTCCATTAGACTCTTTTCGCCCCGCTTCAAACTCAGCAGCTGAAAGGCTCTCACACCAGTGCAACAACAAGAGACAGAACATAAGAGTGCAAGCGGTCCCGGGCCTATGCGAAGAAGCAGCCGCGGAAGCCTCATCACTCCGTAGCGAGATCTGGCTTCCTCACTGCCCTCGGATGCCCAGGTGCCATCAGAGGGAAAAACTATAGGTTATTTCTTTTGCTGAAGAACAAGCCGGCAGTTCAATAAGAAAGAGCGACTTGGGCGCTGACACGGGATAGTTACTGAGCTATATCAACGAACCGTTGCCAAATCTTAACACGGTCATTTTTAATTTAGCAACGCGTCTCTAGGAGATCATCCTCGGATCGAAAACTCCTCTAGGTCACCAACAGTCTGCAACAACAAACCAGACCATACACCGGCCCGTAAGTTCAGTTGAGAAGTTGCAAGCCCCTACACCCGAAAGGCATCGCAAACGCAACATACAGAAACGGAACCACGCAGGAAGAACTCCCCCCGGTATCTCTATTAAACACAGAGAAATGAAATTGAACATAGTTCTAAAGTAATTGACAGACCTACATTTATTTACGTGAACGCAGAGGGTCATCGGTCAAAAGCGACAGATCTGGGACGCAGCAGCCAGGTAAGTAACAGGTCCGGAAAAGGCAAGGAACTTTTAGGAGTACAGTAATTCAAGCGCTCAGACCAACGGGCGTACAGTAACCTTACCAGATTTCATGAAGCGGCAGCAGCAGCAAGATCTCAATTAGAATACCACATGCAATTCCCTACAAGAGAGAATCCACCCAAAACTTCGGCAGGGGCAGATGGGGAGACTTAGAAAATGCTAGAGAATAGAGGAGCAATTTGATGAGATGCGACAGAGGCCACCTAGCTCCCAGAGACTACGCAAAACCTAAAAGTGACTGCGGTTGCTGCCCACAACTACCCGGGCAGCAGGAGCGCTAAGCGCCGAGGAGAGAGGAGCCCTTTAAACAACGACCACAGAACTGAGGTGCAAAACCAAAGCGGGATGAGCCGATATGCATTCCTTGAAAATTTTAATAAAGCTTCCGAGAGCAAAAACGTTTTAGGACAACTTCCAACTACAATAGCATGGGATTGCCTTCTGCTACCGCAGAACCGCTTCTAATTTCATTACGTCTCCCAATAGCGCAAATTAGCGCACGGTCTCCAAGCACGATACCGTCTCCAGCATCAAGCCCTTTTTCACAACGGGAACAAAATCACATTCCACAGAAGAAAATCCACTCAGAGAGTGACTATAGAGTTACCACCCATTGCGATTTCACAGCGCTTCTGTTCTGGAAGAAGCACCTCCGGTATTCAACACGGAGGAAAAAAACTTTATCACGCTCTCGTGACCATTTTAAGAGGAGCATCGACAAGCGAATGACTCCGCACGGTAATTTTTTTCACACCAACAACCAGGACATCACCATAACTGTACATACAGATGGGACTCGTCTATCTCTGTCCTTCACACCATGAGAAACATTGAACTCTGTGGACATTTTGCTACTTAAGCATCCGCTTAAAACCACAGCATAGAGCATCGTCGTGCCTCAAATCTCCCTGGATTTTGTTACAGCTACGTGACGTAGCCAAAACCTGCAGAAGGAGACTCTGAAACGCACAGAGATCCAGAATATTTGCCACCCCACTAAACGTTTGTGACAGCACGCTATTTCTTCCAGCACGACGAGGCCTTCGTTCGCACTAAACTGCGGTGTCCTTCCTCGATCAGCGTGGGGCTGGGTCAAAGAACAAGTTCAAAGGCTAACTTTTTACAACCGTTACCTGAGCCTGCAGCACAGCCAAAGTGACGTGATAGGTGTCCACAGAAACAGCAGCCGGGGATTGCTGAGTAACAGAGACGGGGAACTTCACAGCTTCAGCAGACAGACGGCAGTGTAGCACCTGGAGAGAAAAGGAAGGAGATGAGTTTATATCCTTGGCGAGAGGCAGCTGCGCGATGTCAAGCCCTCTGAAAGAGACAGGCGAGGTTGACCCGTCGTGGAAGGAAAGAAACATCAGGCTTACTCCCAGACCCAGTTCTGTGCTGTGAACCTGTTGTTTCAGGCACCGTACACGAGGCAATAAAGACGTACAGGTGACAGGAGCTCTCTTCTCCTCTCCGCTGCAGGACCCCGATATTCAAGCTCAGCACCCATACGCCTCAGCCCCACCGACACATCTTCCCCCGGGCTCTCCCAGAGCTCATGTATGAGCAGCCCCTAATCCGCAGTCTCACGAGCCGTTGACAGGCCTCTGAACTCAACGACAGACCGCGCCCTAAACTTCCTCGGTTCCACCGTCCCCACCGCAGATGCTTCAGCAATCTCCATAGAACACGCCATCGGTCATCGGAGAAACCCCACACCATACAAATCGGAACCGGAAAGCCTTACCATGCTGTGGTCCGACTGTCCCTTGCACGTCACACAACTTATATTTGCGGTCGGCGGTAGCTGAGGACCCTCTTCAAACGTGATCTGCACCGAACTCTACGAAAAGAGAACCCCGTTAGTTCCCAGCGGTCAAGGTTTCCCAGATAGTTTCAAAGAAGATGAACCGTTCTGACTTGAGGCCCTAGAGACGCCCCGGTCCGTATCCATGAATCCCGTCGGCACGCAGAACCATCGCATGCTGCAATTCTACCCGCCTTGGCTTGTCCGTACAGAGAAAGGAAATGAGGTCTCCGGTCAAGGCCTGGACTCGCAAACACCGTGTTAATTTCAGACAGGCAGGCCCAAAGGAGAAAGGAAAATTGTTCTGGATAGCAGTCAACTATAAGTGAAACGCTTTAACCCTTCTTAGCGCTTTACCGATTCTCCTCTCTCTCTCCCCACTCTGTGCTAATGCTGCCTCAAGTAAACCAAAAAAAGCTGCTCGTGTTTTAGGGCTGAGGTGATCGAGAGGGACCATAAAAGTGTGGGAAACCGCACTCTTTTTCTCAAGTGAATGCGACTGCGCACCACCGCCTCCCTGCGACAGACCCAGGAGATGGGCGGAAGAGGGATGGAGGGGGCTCTCAGAGGCTACTCTGACCAGAATACATACTATGACCCGAACAGCCGCTCGTCCATCAAAAACTAGTCCGGACGCGTGCCCTCCCTCCTCTCAATGCCGACGTGAGGCAGCTCTCCCAGCGACCGAACTGCAAAACTGCAAGATTCAATGGTGAAACAAGTCAGATGGCTCCCCGCTGCTTCATACTAGTAACGCCCGCTCGCTCTTCTTCTTGCAAGCCTCCTCCGCCAGAGTCGTGCGTTCGCCCACCCGGGTCAGTCAGGATTATCAGATTAGCCCTTTCTCTCCACGACCGGAACCTTTGCCCAATGACTCATGTATATAATCATCAGTGGCAAACCACTGCCCTGTTGTTCCCGATACATCAGTCTCGCTGAACTGGGAGGCGCTGGCAACCTCAAAAGAACTCGTTACTCGGGCCGCTCAGAATGAACCGCGTGCACAAGGTAGCGCAAATCTAACCCCAAGGCAGGGAGGAATCACGGAAGAAAAATAAAACAAAGAGGGTAGCATGCGCTTGAGAGGCGACTCAATTCGTTTCAAGTATTTGTCCTATTTAAAGGCAAGTAACTCGAAATCCAAATAGGAAACAGGAAATACCACCTGCTAACATTTAAAGATCTATGGAAAAAAGCGAAGCGTTGTAACTGAAGCTGCTCTCTCGACTACCGGGGATGAGAATGGCACGCTGCCGGGAGGCAGACCGACCCTCGTCTGCCCACCGCCGTCTTCATCGGATCACGCTCCTAGCAGAATCCACCTGAATTCAAATGCCGTTGTGCTCTGACCGCAAATACACGCCGATAAACTCCTGCCACGTACTTCACGTTCTCATGTTCACCGTGATTCGGAAAGAGGAGGAAACGTGGGCAAATCTAGACCCGAAAGAGATTAGGATGTTTTCTTTTAAAATTCACCAAGCTGAAAGAAGCCACGCAGAAACAACACAGCCACAGAAGGAAACAGACTATCAAGAGGGAAGCAATCGTGCAGCCGGGACTCTGGAACGCTAGCCGCCTCCTATTATCCTTTTACAGTGGACCGTGAGACTTCTACCTCAATTCAGGCATTTTCCTTTCTCGGGACTACGCACAAGGCAAAATGAGACAGCCCAGTTAGAGGATGGTAAAGATAGCTCTCAAATGGGCAATCGAGACAGCAACCTACGGTTCTTCCCCAGCCACGCCGGCAAGCCCGTGAAAGCAGGCTTATAAATATGGGGACCGAGACTCTTCACCATTCTGCATCCACAAGAGCCTGGTGTACTCGCAACCATCTGCTCCACCCCAGTAATTAAACCTAGCTTCGCAGAGCTCCATTTCTGTACGGCTTTTTGTCAGCTGAGACAGCTAAAATGAAAAAAAAATGTGACAGCAAAAGGAGCTAAGAATAAGTCTACACGGGAGAAAGTGAGATCGCTCGCTTCTAAACGTGAATCTATCCCCGACTCCCCTTGGGACTTAAAAGGAGAGCAGGGGTGGAGTCAGACCGGGAGCGGGGACGCAGCCGCTGGCAATTGCGATGAGTGCTATCAGCCCCGTGTCCCTTCCCCGACCGGACGGAAGAACAGGAGACAGGGGTGTGAGGGGGCGCAGGGGAATGCTTTTTATGACAAAGCTAGTACATTTTCAATGACAGACTTGCCATCGATTTCAAAGAAAGGTTTACCCGAAAACCACGTGCACCACAAAAAATGGAGACTCAGCTTCTCCTCATGGCAACTCACGGGACTATCTTTTACACAACTACATTAAAAGAACACACAAACCCTAACGTACCCCCGGCCCAGAAAAATTCTTCTGTTTTGTAGTCTTCAGAAAGCGCGCCTGGACTACACAGAGAAGACTGCGGTCAACCTGAGGCTGACTTTACCTAGTCACGCTGAACTTCTTTTAAAAGACATCTCTCAGTCATCGACAACTGAGCACAGGCAATTGACAACATTAAAGGAAATCAAAAAACAAAGAATCAACACAGAAGAAATGGCCGAATTCAAAACGCAGGCCCAGCTTACGGTTACCTCGATCTTTATCCCCGTGTCTGGCAGCTCAACTGCACCTTTGCGGAAAGACGCGTTTCTCCACGAACCTCTTGGGAACGGAAGACTTTCAAAAAGGGTTCTGCTGTGCTACAATTAAGGACTACTGAACTTCGACTACGCAGTTAAGATTTGTTCTGTCTTGTGCAGTTACTTTTAAGTGCAACTGCTTAACGAGCCCAATTAACCCAACCGCTCTTAAGATCCCAGACAATACTATCTACGTTAAGCAGGAAAAGTAAAGGCCAAAACCGAACCGTTCCAGACTCGCTGATGAAGTTAAGCCCTCCTTTGGTCAAATTGCAGAGGGTGCTCATTCAGGTTCTGCAGCCTTTATTCAAATAGCTGTATATAAAAGGACTTCCCTGAAAAAAAAGACAGGAATCGTGAAGGTGACACGGAACAAACCCAAGCAATTCTTCCTGAGTCACCTGCCTCAAAGGTCCAATTTCTTCATCTCACCCCAGCAAGTTATTATCGGGGTATTACCCCGAGGCAAATGAAAATACAGAGGAACGCTACGGAAGGCGTGCTGGAAACACTGCCGTGCAAACGTTCCCAAAGGAGCCAAAATCATGACATTACCCAGGGGGCTAGACTTTACAAAGCCTATTATGTTGATCCATCTAACAATGGCTGGGGGCAACCGGAGTGATAATTTCTCATTCCTCCCCGCTTCCCAGTCGCCTGATCTTTCCCACACGGTTGTGCTGCACCAAGAGATCCACTGCTTTGCCCTGCCTCTAGCCCAGAATTTAACTCACTTTGTCAAAAGGGGAGAGACTTTTCCAATCTTGGAAAATTCAAACACAGGTTCGCATCGCTTTCTTCAAGACTTTGATTGCCTTTTCTTCAAACGCATCAGCTTTGTGCTACCCTTTTTTAGCTCTCCGTTTTCCCATGCAACTTAACAGAAAGGCTCCCTCTTTCCATTTACGCGACAGAAAAAGAAGAGAAGGCTGCGGCAGACTTTGGACCTCAGCTCTCGCGGCCAGAAGCCCCTGCCTTAGGGGCCGCGCGAGGTGACGTGCGGTTCTTTCCATATGGGACCGGCGAGGCCCGTTCCCCTTCGTGAACTTCCAAATTACAACGGTAACGCCGGGAGACCGACGGGAAGAGACAGCAGAAGCGGCCACG